CATTAGCAGCCTCCTCTTTCACATCAGGAGCCATCCTTCACAGCCCCCCATTTACATCAGGAGCCCTTCTTCACCAGATTACCAACAAAGGGACTGGGATAAATCGGCACCAGTGCTGAATTTCTATTACTACATGTAGGCACACAATCTTTGATGCCCAATGAAACCTTTGCTAGGACCACGTCTTAAATACATAACAATTTCTTTATTTATATAAGAACCAGTCTGTATTGCATGCCCTGTAAAAGTTCTCATTTGCTCACACTTTTTTATTTACCTTATTCTTGTGATAAATGTCCTTTTCTTTCACCTATTAAAACAGCAACAAAAAAAAGCAAAAGCTAAGACGTTACAGTAATAACAGTAATTGTGCTAAATGGTATATACTAGGGATGCACCGATACCAGTTTTTAGGTATCGAGTACGAGTACCGATAATTATATATTGGTACTCACCAATAACGAGTACTGATACCGGTACTTCCACTAGCATGGAGCCGGCTTCCCGGGCAATCAGGAACCCAGGCAGCATGTCATTACCCGCCGCATGCTGAATGGCCGGGAAGCCAAACAGATCGGATAATATGGTGACACAACCTCCCCCTGCAGACACCCCATTCTCCTCACACCCATATCCATCCTCAGGAGCAGCCATTACCGAACCACAGATGTCCCTTGGCCAGCTGGGCAGACACCACTCTCCAAGTCGCTTTACCTCTCCCGGTCTGTGCATAGAGCCTCCTGACTTCGGTGTGTGCATAGAGCCGGCCAATCAGGAAGCCGGGCAGCGAGTCATGTTTCCCTCTGACCAGAATTCGAAATCTCCCTCTGACCAGAAGTTCCGGTACCGACGAAGGTATTGGAGCATTTGGGCGAGTACTCACCATATACTTGGTATTGGCACTGATACCGTTACTAGTATCGGTATTGGTGCATCCCTAGTATGCTCAAAAATAAATAAATATCAACAGGTTTAAAGGCTAAGTTTACCTTTTTGACCATGTTCATGCTACAGCTATATGTAGGGTTTAAAATGAAACATGGTCAGATATCGCAAAGTCACCCCCCCCCGCTACTTACCTGAATTGTGGGTTCACTTCTACACCCAGCCCCCAACTCTTGTGTTTGTAGCGCAGTTTAGTGCGGCATTAATCAACCTTTTTTCAATCATGGCACCATTTCAAATGATGTAGAATCTTGAGGCACCCCAGTTTAAAATGTCATAGATTTTATACTCCCTAAAAATCAAGATTTCCTCCTCTCCTTCACATCAGAGTCACCCTTTGCATCTGGAGCCCCCCTTTCACACCAGGAGCCCTCTTTTCACATAAGAAGCCCCTCTTTTATATCAAAGTCGGGGTTTCACATCAGAGTTCCCCTTCACCTCAGTCTCCATTCCCCCTTCACATCACAGTTCCACTAACACAAAATGTTGAGGCACCCCTGAGGAAGCCAGAAGACACACCAAGGTGCAACGGCACTCTGGTTGAGAAAGATGGTTTAGGGAACGGTACTAAATTCCAGATTGGTTGCTACGGGGTCCATTTATTTATTATTTATTTATTACAGATATTTATAAAGCACCGACAATTTATGCAGCACTTTACACTTTAGTCCCTGCCCTCAAGGAGCTTACAATCTACTGTAAGGTCCCTATCTCACGTACATACACGGGCCAATTTAGACAGAAGCCAATTACCCTACCAGCATGTCTTTGGAGTGTTAGAGGAAACCGGAGTTTTCGGAGGAAATCCGCTCAAGCACAGGGAGAACATGCAAACTCCTTGCAGATAGTGATCTGGCCTGGGATTCAAACCTATTTTCAACAAAGTGTACATATTATGTACAGTTGAGTGCTCCTATTATTTTACATACCTGAAACTCCCTGTCAGGATCCCAGATGACCAAATCAGCATCATAACCCACTTTAATAGATCCTTTGCGATTATCAAGGCCGCACAGTTTGGCTGTGTTGCTGCTCAGCAAATGGGAGACATCAGTCAAAGAGAAGCCGCGGGTTCTTGCCGAGGTCCAGAAAAGAGACAGTCCTAAAAGGCAAGAGAGGTATTCGTTTTCCAGAAAATAAACTTTGTTATTTGAGACAATTAAAAAGACAATATGATCATAAAAATAAAAATTCAGCTTTTTTTTTTTTTTGCATAGTATTGTATTTGCTTCTGATACTTGCATATCAGTTGTATTAAGTGTCCGAAATGAAAGCTATATTTATCATATATTGTATCTTTTAGCATGTGATAGCTGGGTATAGGCACATTTTCATTGTATGTATTTTCCTCCAATTGAATAAAAGAACTAGCTGGCTCAGAACCCATAACAAGTGCCGCATTTTAGCTACAATATGAATGAACCCTGACAACATCCTGAAATGGGTATTATAATCTTGTTGTATTGCTGTTCCTTGATACTTTGTATAGTTCCTATCTGCTGTGGAACTGATTCATATATTTCATTGTATTATTGTAAAAATATATTTAAAATGTAGCTGAAGCTTTAAAGTATATGTAAACCCAATAGCAGGTCAGTAATGGCGGCCTACATATTGCTGTCTGCACAGGTTTCCTTAGCATAGCTTTTCTAATATATCTGTAGATTTATCCACTCCTCCCTTGTGCATCTTGCTTATTATTACCAGATAAAAGTGCCAAATCCTGTCAGAGACAGCTTTTCATGCTATCACTGAGCTGAGTCTCCCAACAGTTTTCATATATTTCCTATTGGTAGGGAGGGTATCTCATTGCTCAACAGTCTCACCTCTCATTTCCTTGAGTTTAGCAGCAAAAACACAATACTGATCATGATGTCACCTTACACATGCCATCAATAGGTCAGTACTACTGGCTTTGCCTGACTATTTTTAACTTCTGAACATTTTACGAGGTATAACTAAGATGGATGGATTCAAATCTGCATTTTACAATATTTAATTTATTATTATTATTATACAGGATTTATATAACACCAACAGTTTGCACAGCGCTTTACAATACATTACAATCACAATACAATTAAAGACAAGATGGTAAGGAGGGCCCTGCCCTTTAGGGCTTACAATCTAAAAATGAGGGGCAAGTGATACATGAGGAGGTAGCTGTGTGGGGATGAATTGTTTGAGATAGTGATAGTTCAGTGGTTAGTTTGAGGTGGAATAGGCTTCCCAGAAGAGATAAGTCTTAAGGGATCGCCTAAAGGCAGTCAGAGTGGGAGATAGATGGACAGGTTGGGGTAGAGAGTTCCATAGGATGGGAGAGGCTCTAGTGAAGTACTGGAGGCGAGCATGGGAGGAGTTGATGGGGGAGCTGGAAAGCAGAAGGTCTTTTGAAGAGCGGAGGGAACGGTTAGGGTGATACTTTGAGACCAGGTTTGAGATGTAGTCAGAGGAAGAGTTGTGGATGGCTTTGCAAGTGGTTGTTAGTATTTTGAATTTTATCCTTTGGGCTATTGGAAGCCAGTGTAGGGATTGACAGAGGGGGTTCCAGACACTGAGCGGTTTGGGATTGGTGCATAAGTCTAGCAGCTGCATGATAGACTGAAGGGGGTATAGCCTGTGTAGAGGTAGGCCAATGAGGAGGGAGTTGCAATAGTCAAGACAAGAGATAACAAGCGAGTGGATGAGTAATTTTGCGGTGTCATTGGTGAGGAAGGGGCGTATTTTGGAGATGTTACGAAGGTGAAGGCGGCAGGATTTGGATAGTGATTGGATGTGGGGAAGAAAGGTGAGGTCCGAGTCAAGGATGACACCTAGGACCTTGGCATAGGGGGAGTGCTGGATAGTGGTGTTAACAATCCCAAGGGAAAAGTTGGGGGAAGGTGCACGGGCAGGAGGAAATATCATGAGCTCAGTTTTGAAAGGTTGAATTTTAAGAAGTGTTGTGACATCCAGACTCATATGTCAGTTAGTAGATTAGTGACACGCCAGGACACTGAGGGGGTGAGTTGTGTAGTAGAAAGATATATTTGCGTGTCATCGGCATAGAGATGGTATTGGAAGCCATGTGAGGTTATTAACTGACCAAGGGAGGAGGTGTAGATAGAGAAGAGAAAGGGTCCAAAGACAGAGCCTTGGGGGACCCCTACAGAAAGAGGAAGAGGAGGGGAGGAGTTAGAATTGTAGGTGACACTGAAGGAGCGCTTACATAGGTAGGAGGAGAACCATGAGAGAGCAGAGTCTTGTTGGCCAAGCGAGTGGAGTTTTTTGAGGAGCAGCGGGTGGTAATAGTGGCCATTGGTTTTAGCTGTTAGTAAGTCATTAGTGAGTTTTAGGAGGGCGGTTTCAGTGGAGTGTACGGGGCGAAAGCCAGACTGTAAGGGATCGAGAAGGTTGTTATCAGCGAGGTGGCGGCTCAGGCGGCTGTAGATAAGGCGTTCTATGAGTTTGGAGGTGAATGGAGATTGGTCTGAGATTGTTGAGGTTGGTAGTGTCCGTTGAGGGTTTTTTGGGTATTGGGGTGACTAAGGCATGCTTTAGAGGGGAGGGAAAGATGCCAGTAGAGAGTGAGAGATTGAAAATGTGAGTAAGAGAGTGTAGGATAGAGTAAGAGGGTGACTAAAGTAGTGGTGAGGGAACAGGGTCCAGGGGGCAAGTGGTGAGGTGGGTATCAGAGAGAAGCTTTGTAACCTCCTCTGTGGTGACAGGGTTAAAAAGAGGAGAGTAACAAGTGTGATGGTGGGTCTGGTATATGAATAGGGTAAGGTGACTGGATAGTGGCGATCTGAGCCCGAATTCATTTAATAATAACAAATTGGACTCATCTTTTATTTCTAAATACTGTTGTCTCTAAATTTTAGTGTATCTTTTGAAACGTGAGCTATAATTGCAATAAAAATATTCCAATACTGTAAATTCACAACAATGCAGAGTTGTATGTGTGATACAATTCTCATATAGTCAGTAAATCAATAACACTTTCTCTGAGCAAGCATACATTTAATTTTTTCTGATACGGCTGTATATCCTTCTGTTAGTACATTACTGATAATGACAATTTTACTGCTATTGACCTTTTATATTTACTCTCAGATGTGTGATATCTTAGAATGTCTTAGTGATCCCATAATGTTTATAACCCAGAAACAGTGGATAACCTCTTATGTCCTGCACACTTATTGGTCTAGATGGCAGCAGTGTTTGACAATTCATAAGGTTAAAAGGAAAGCATTTATATATTAAAGGTCTGTCCCATATCACTATGGAAACAATAAGATGTAGCTGTGTTCATCATTTTTAATTTCAAATCTGAGCAGTGAGATCACTTTAAACAATTACACCATACTGATATATCAAATCTGGGGAACATCTGGACTTGCAGTAAGTTTACTGGTACGCATAAATAAATCTCTAAAATGTTGCAAATTACAACAACAGTATACTAAGAATAACTGTGTCCTCTATTATAAAAAAAACAAGCCTCACCTGAGCCTTGCCTGCACATAGGAACAGCATACACTCCCCCTTTCTTCACTCCACCGCCATTCTGTCCATCCTCCAGAAGCAAAAAAAAGACCTATTACTTCTGGGTATGGAGGAGAATATGATCCACTCAATGGGACAACACTCATGCTTGGTGACTGTCCCAGAGCTATCACATGGATGCAGGTAGATTCTGAAGTCCTGTGAAAGCCCTGACAGGAGTCAGATGGATCCAAAGCTTGGCATACACTGTTAAGGTACCCACACACCTTGCGATAATCGTACGATAATTGTGGGAAATCGCAAGGTGTGTGGAAGGCGTGCAACCTCTGCTACTGTAAGGTCGCAAGACAGGAGGCTTGCGATGGTTGAAAGGTGTGTGCCCAGCATTAGATTGTTTTCTTCAGCGACAGTCGGCCCTGCAAGCTGTCAAAATTCCTCAACAGTGCCTACATCTGATTGGAATTGGCCTAAGTTCACTTATAGTCAGCTTAGCACAGGGCTGTCTCTCTTTGCTCCCCATGGCTGAACAGAACATCAGGGGAGCAAAGGAAAGAGAATAGTGAAGGGCAACCAAACTAATTAGGGGTATGGAGGACCAGAGCTACGAGACGAGGCTACTAAATTTAAACATGTTCACATTGGAGGTGAGGAGATTAAGGGGGGATATGATCTCCATGTACAAAATGTTCAATGGTGGTAGCAACATTAGCGATAAACTGTTTAAAATTAACTCCGTTACAAAAACTAGAGGCCATCACCTAAAATTGATGGAAAAAAATTCCAGCACAAGGGGCGAAGGGGGTTCTTCACAGTAAGATCAGTTAGGGTCTGGAACTCACTGCCACAGGCGGTGATTTCAGCAAATAATGTGGAATTGTTCAAGAAACTTTTGGACGATTTCTTAAGGGACTGTAATATACAGGGGTACGGGTACTCCTAGAATGAGATCATAATAGGTTGGACTTGATGGACTAATGTCTTTATTCAACCTCAAATACTATGTAACTATGTAACTATGTAATATGAGCAGATTGGGGGGGGGGGCTTTGAAGTGAACATGGTACTATGCCCTGTGTCATTACTTAGTAATTTGCAAGATGAGAGGCAACAACAAGGGCCTGTTCTGTGTGAGCCAATGGGCCAGATAAACCATTGACAGTGGACCAAATATTTGGTGCAAGGAAACCTGTTTGTTTAGTTGCGCCAAATAATAGTTCTATTTGAGGGGTTTCAATAGAAAGATACAATAAATGCACGAATTGTAAAAAAAAGTGCAACATTTTTCCCAAAATGTCTCCCAATACGTGCCAAATAAATAATGGTTTTGAAAATTAGCTTTTCAATATTTGGTGCACCAGAGGTGTGCAGTAGTGGGTCAAGAGGATAATGGCACGAAACAGTAATAATTTACTGAAGGTTTTACACCTACACAATACTCTGCATGCAAGCACTTACAGTGGAACTCTACTTATCTCCCCTCCAGCGATACGACATCAGCAAGTACCTTTGCCACCGCCAGCATCTTCAACCAGTCTTTTTCCAGGTTGTCTAGATCTTCAGCCATCTTGCCTAGCCATGCCGGGATGACATAACTCATATGCGCAGGAGTTAATTTATACAGGCAGATGCCGAAGTTTGTGAACAGGCAAATAATAATCCTTTTTTGCAGAAGAGACACGGGATGATTTACTAAAGGCAATCAGGCTGTCCACTTTGCAAGTGAATTTTCCCCATCGCTTAGTGAATGAGTTAAAGCTCTCAATCACCCGATAATGAGCAAGACAAAATACTGCTTGTTTTATTTTCCTTGTATGTGATTAGGTATTCTTTGCAAAGTGAATTTTCACCACATTCATTAAGCTAAGGGAAAATTCCCCTGCAGAGTGCAAGTTCCCTCCCAAAATAAAAAGCCTATTTGCCTTCAGTAAATTAGCCCTATTGTAAGTATCTTCAGTAATTTAAATCCTGCCTTGTTGCCCTTTTTTAATTTTTATTTAAAGAACCACTTTAGAATGAGAAACCTATATAATACTAGGTCTACTTTGAAAATAAACTTGTGCTGATAGGCTGCCAATTCTGACTTGCTTTTGAAAAATTAAAGTTTCCTGCTAGTAAGCCATGCAACAAATCAAGTCAGAAATCCTTTCAGGTATATTTATTTGCAGAAGGAGAGTTCAGGAATGATGGTCTAAATCCCAGTACATGTTTTCTTCACTCTTTCCTTTCAGATATTTCCTAGAATCTTCTAATGGGTCAATAGGTTGTTGGGGGATTAGGGCATAGGTGGCAGACATCAAAAGAACTTCAGGGCTAGGTTTTTGTGAGATTCAAGGCATACAACAGTGCAAACAGTCCACAGCTCCCATTCCCAGGCTACTTCAGTCAGTAATCACCATGGGGGCAGGCAATATAGGCACACCTCAGCCTCCAATATGTGCATACTTCTCAAGACAAGAATGCACATCTGAGGCATACAGTTACACCTCTTTGCCAGTCCTAGCTCAATACCTCTGACAGGGGTTGCAGACTGAATTCAGAAACCCATGGAACCAGCTTGGTACAATGCCAGCTACATTTAAAAATAGTACATTACCCAGCTTCCCAAAAACATATGTGTTATGTATAATTGAACAATACTTACCAAACTGTAGGGAAGAAATACCTCCCCAGGCCTTCATGTAATCTCCCTCTTTCAGAAGCTTGAGGTCTGGTGTGCATGGTGAATGGTCAGAAACCACCATGTCTATATGGCCCTGCAGAAGTGCGTTCCACAGAGCCTCCTACAAATGCAAAGAAGTAAGCATGAAAGGTAACATAAAATTGCCACATGCTTAAATCAGTCTATAACCAATAAAATTATCTAGACCTATCATTGTAAACTTTACAGTATATAGTAATGGGTGACGCGGTAAAGCTGGCAGGGGTAACAAATGCCCTCTACCATCTTCAGGGGACAGAGTACCATAATCAATGGAACTTGGCCACTGAATGCAGGAAATACTGAGAATACAAATTCTTAGCACTCAAGTGAAGTCAAACCAATGGCATTAGACCAGTGATTGATTACTATAATGTAGTTCAGCCGTGTGCAGTACAGTTTACTACATAAAGTGCACATGCAAATGTTTTATTAGTAACAGATTTAATGTTCTATCTCTGCCAGTCAGTCTGAGGGCTACATGAGCATTGGTAGAGTATGAGACAATAGAGAACAGTGTAGGTACCTTGTTGTGATGGCCTCTTACTGGTGGGCAGCACTTGTAGTATGTGGCACCAGGAGGAATGTGCTCAGAGCTCAAGGATAGGTAATGATGAGTTGTCTCTACAGTCAGGGGGGCTCCAGCCTCTTTTGCTTTTCTGATTATGGTCAGAGATTGTGCTGATGACAGGTGGACAATGTGACAGCGCACTCTGAAGAAAAATAGTTTAATGTCAATATGTTTGCAAAAATTATATCCTGAGATGTTCATCACCATACCACAGCACTGCACATTGCATTTTGGACCTCATGATGTAATTGCTGGGTGTAGTGGGGGGACGCAGGATCTCAGAGCCCCTGAGAGTCCCATAGGGAATTTTGCCCATAATATCTGGTATCTCACATTTGAGGATCTGCAGCTAAAAGTGCCCTGTATTTTCTACTTCTACTTTGGTAGCACAGGGAAAGTGGCCTAAGGAGGGGTATTGGGAGATAAAATAAAGTATGACTTTGAAAATAAGCATTCCTTATGTATACATGGAATGCAGAATAAAATAATTTCCTCATTAAAATTATCAGTTTAATAAATAATTGTTTTCAGTTAATGAGCAATTCCATTTAACACTGATTTCTCCATTTAGGGTAGAATGGGGCATGGGATATTATGCCAAGTAGGTCTTCCTGCTGTTTAAAGTGACATTAAACAAGGGAATTTAATGGTAAAAACTCAGCTGTATATTCTCAAATCATCTCTGAATTGGTTCTGATACTGTCCTTCCTTGTGTAGGGGGGCTACTTTTGTTCCCCATGGTCCCTGGGTGTGTCGTGAAGTAGTCACCGCTCCAAGCTCGTTCTAGGGATTGACTACCATCTCAATACAAATTAGTAACCATGGGGAACAAAAGTAGCCACCCTCCAGAAGGAAGGACAGTGTCAGCACCAATTCAGAGATGATTTGAGTTTCTACAGCCGAGTGATACCCAAATAAGATATATTTTTGTTATAGTTAGGGTACTTCAATGCATTTTTAAGGTTTAACTCCTGAGCTTAGTGTCACTTTAGGGACCCAGCAGATTGGGTTGTGCTTACCTTCAGAATTGATTTGCCAGCCATGCTAGCATCATCACCAAACAAAATTAGTTATGTTATGTTGTAGCAATTTTGACATATTCAATACACATAGAGGGAAAATGTACATTATCTGGTGACTATGGTAGATTAACCTGTTATGGCTGTGCATGGGAGGGGAATGGATCTTCAAGCTAAGGTCTTGAAAGCCGTGAAGATTTCAGTTTTAATCCAGCCCTGCTTTATTCAAATGCCAAGCTGTACAACACAGAGGAGATAACAACCTTCAAATTTAAAAGTGGCAGATCATAACATGCCATAATATGTACCCGACATTAAATTGTACTGTAGACAAAGATCAGCTACCAGTTCCACCGCAGCAACTTCCATGTTATCTGGGCGGGAGTCCAGGAATGTTTCATACAGTGTAGGGTCTGTGAAGAATAGGTACAATTTACAATAAGTTTAGTTGTTAAACTGAATACAGAATTGATTATATATATATATATATATATATA